GGATTGTGATGGATTGATGTATTTGTGAATTGAGATGTGAAGATAATGAGAGATTGATAAATTGTGATATAAATATATATACTTGTAAATAGTTTATTAAGTAATGAGTTGTGATGAGATTACATGGTGTTGTGTTTGTATGTACTTTGCATATAGATATTTTCTTTTCTCACCGTATAAATTGTGGATATTTTAGGTGAAGATCCAGCTGCAAGTGGCATCTAGAATGCCAACGGTTATATTATGGGAAATGCTCTGATATTGTGACATCGGGGCAGAGAATTTCTAGGACAAAATATTTATATGAATTTGAAATTGTAATATTATTTTGAAAACAATTTGTAAACTCTTAAATTTTATCTTTCAAGTTTTATTTCCAATTATTTTGGATATTGAAGAAAGAACAGTTATGAAGTTTTATGTGAACCCTTTTACCAACTTTGAAAGTTTATTTTCTTAATTTAATTATATTATTTCAATGTAATGTGTTGGAGTAGTAAGGGTGTCACAATTATTACAGTTGTTATTTATTAATGTATTATTATATAATTAATGTAATTTTAATTTCATTGTGAAATTTTGTGAATACTCAAGAGTTATAGGAGTTTTGTTTTTTTGGAAAATTTTAGAAGGAAGTTTTTAAGGAAGAAATTATTTCCTTTATCTTATTTACAGAGTGATTTAATATTTTATAAATTAATTATTAATAATTTTAAATTTATACTTTATGTATCGATAAATTTATTTTATATTAGTGTGTTATTAAATAATTAATATAATTTTAATTTTATTCAAAAAAATTATTTGGCTAAATACCTATTTTGGTCCCTTATTATATTTTTTTGTTTCAATGTAGTCCCGCTTTTATTTTTGGTTTCAATTTAGTCCCAAACTAATTAACTGGTTTCAATTTGGTCCCAAATAAATTAATTGGTTTCAATGTGGGACTTCCGTCCAAATTTCTTTAACGGAGTTAACTATTGGCCACGTGGATGCCACCTAGATGCATTGGTGGATGCCACGTGAATGAATTTTTTTTTGAAAACACCTGGAACCAGAACGGCCCGTTCTGAAACCAGAACGGGCCGTTCTGGATGCGCTTTTGGTGTGTTAATTTTGTATTGGAAACGAGCTGTTCCAAATGCAAAATTTACACACCAAGAGTACACCAGAACGGTCCGTTCTGAAACCAGAACGGCCCGTTCCAAAACTGAGAATAGAATATTATTTATTAATTTTATTAAAAAATGTAATAATTTTGAAAATTATTTTTTTATGGTAAAAATTTTAAAATTACTTATTTTTATAAAATACATTTGCCTTATAATAGAGTAATAACTTTTTTCTTTTTCTCTTTCTATCTAAAAAAATATTTAAGTGTCACTTTATAATTTTTTGTAACTTATTTAAAATTAGAGGAATAAAATGATAAAAATTAATAGGATAAACATAATAAAATTATTAATTTATTTTCTTTTAGTGTCCTCTAAATTTTTACATTCATTTAAAACAAAAATATTTTATATGTTAATTTGAATTAATTTAACGAAGTATCATATGATTTTTAATTTTTTAAAATTTTTTATAAATTTGATCTATACATGAAAAACTTTTTAATTTAACAATTAAATTCTTAAAAATTTGATATAGAACATTAATTATTAAATAGAATAAATCTATCAAGACTTACTCTTGAAGTAAGTAAATTTTTTCTTCATTAAAAATGAAGATAATTTTACCACAAAATAAAAAACAATTAAACAATAAAATAAAATATAAAAAAAATTTAATATATTTATTATATTAGATATAACAGCATAATTAAAATATAATTAATAATGTCATTTCATCATTTACTGTATAGTGTCATTTCATTGACAATATAGTGTCATTTCATCCTTTACTGTATAGTGTCAATTTAGTAGTAAGTGGTTCATCCTTTAGTGATACATTGCATTGTCCTTAATAATACATTGTATAGCCTAACTGTTTAGCAATTGAAGTTATCAATTTTCATTAAAAATATTACCAAATTCAGTGTTTGAAATGCTTTGTACCTTGGGTCTTTTTCCTTCCATGATTCACAACCGTGAACTATAATTTAGCAGTCTGGAACCAGAAGGCCTGTTCTCAAACCAGAACGGGCCGTTCTGGTTGCACTTTTAGTGTGTTAATTTTGCACCTGGAACGGGCCGTTCCGGATGTAAAGTTAACACAATAAAAGTGCAACCAGAACGGCCCGTTCTGGATTCAGGTTTTCAAAAAATTGTCATCCACGTGGCATCTACGTGACATCCACCTATGCATCCACGTGACATCCACGTGACATCCACGTGGCATCCACCCATGCAACAGTTAACTCCGTTAAAGAAATTTGGACGGAAGTCCCACATTGAAACCATTTAATTTATTAGGGACTAAATTGAAACCAATTAATTAGTTTGGGACCAAATTGAGACAAAAAATAAAAGTGAGACTATATTGAAACAAAAAAAGATTATAAGGGACCAAAATAGGTATTTAGCCAAATTATTTGCACTAGTGCTAGCCAAAAAGCTAATTGTTCAAGCCGCCAAGTATTGCTTGATTGGAGGAGACTTGTATTGCAGAGTATTGTCACTATCTTTGCTAAAATGCCTTACTAAAATGCAAGTCAAATACACTCTAAAGGAAATTCCCAAGGGAGTTTGTAGCATGCATTCTATGTCCACTAAAGTTCTAAGAGCTGAATAATATTAGCTCACATTGCAATCTGATGCTTTGGAATATGTAAAAAGGGTTTGCAAAGTCAAGTTTGATAACCTAATACTCTCAACATTAGAAGAACTACACAGCCTAATCTCTTCATAGTAGTATGCATTGTGGGGTATGGACCTTATTGGGCCTTCCCACCTACTAAAGGCTAATGAAAGTTCCTTTTGATACTATTTAATTACTTTACAAAATGGATTAAAGCAAAATCATTAGTCAAGATTATAATCTAAAATGTTTAGAAGTTCGTATGAAACTAATAGAAGAATATTATTTGCCACTTTGACTTTCCCCACATCATAGTAATTGAAAATTTATCGACAAAAAGTTAAAGGAATTCTTCAAAAGACTAATTATTAATTATATGTACTCTTTGTTGAAGATCCACAATCAAATGGTTAGCCTAAAGCCACAAACTAAGTAATTCTTCGAGGGTTGAGAAATGGATTAGAGCATGTTAAAGGCTTGTGGTCCTAGGAGCTACTCAAAGTATTGTGCATATAAATTTACAAGCCTTCTAAAACATTGACATGCAAATTTGCCTCCATATCAATGGCAAATATATATCCGATATTTATATGTCCAAATACAGGAGGAATACTTATCCTAGAAATATATGGTATACTTAATTGATATTGATATGTCCAAATACTGGAGGAATATCCCCCTTACAATGTTTATTGTTAAAACACTTTTTTTTTTTTTATCTTCATAAAATTAAAATTTTTTATCACATCAGTACAAAATAGATACCGTTATAAAAAAAATTAACAATAAAGACTAACAGAATTGCAAAATTGTAAGTATAGGATTAAAAAAGATTCATTTTAAACTATAAGAACTAAAAATGATTGAAAAAATTAAATACAAGAACTAAAAGATAAAGTAAATTAAATGATATGAACTAAAAAATATTTTAATCTTTTTTATTTACTTCAATGCTTCATTTTATAATTTTAATATTTTTATTTTTGCTTTATTATTTTACTTGTGAAATGGTGCTCTAACAACATTGCAGCAAAGTGGTGTTACGAAGTTGTCACTTGCAACTTATTATTTTACTTTATTTTTATAATTTTAATATCTTACAGGTTTATATTTTTATTAATGAGATATATTTTTGTTAATGCAATTTTAATATTTTAATATTTTCAATAACTTTTGTGAAATTTCTTGTAGTTTTATATTTTTATTAAAAAAATTAAAAAATTTATTTTTGTTATAATATGATTATTATTATTTGTTTATTTGCAGAGGACAGAAGCATTATACATTCATAAGGACAACACTAAATACTTTTGATGTCAGTTCTAAATTTCTAATGCCGATTCTAAAATTTTAAGTTTTTGGATGCTAATATTGTACAAGATGATAATAATCCTCTTTGAGCTTTCCTTAACATGTTAGATAAAGATCAAAAGGGAGAGGAAACAAGAGTTAATTTTGTAACTTTTGCTATAAAGTTCTTAAAAGTTTTTATCCAAGAGTTAAAACTCATTAGTTGAAAATTTTTGGAACCGAAATTTTTGTGTGTTCAAGTTTAAATGATTAGTATTTTGTTGAGTTAAAATCAAATGTTAAATTGACTAAAAATAAAGTTAAATCTAAACATGCCTCATTATCTTCGTAAAAAATGCATCAAAATTCTTCATTAAAAAAGAGAAAAGTTAATTTTCTAAAGAAATCATTTAATCTAAGATAATCTCAAAATCCTCATTTTTTTTATTTGTTTCAAAATTTGAAAATATAATTTTTTTAATAATTCAACTCGATTATCCAATCCAACTCAACCAAATTATACTCAAATTAAATTGTCTAAAACAATTCTCAAACCCGACTCAACCATTAATTTTAATTGAATTGGATACTAAAATATTCAAAAAAAAAAAAAACCCAATCCAACCTATATACACCCGTATCATCTTGAATTTTCATATAAATTTGAAATTGTTACATGTTCAACAGACATGATCAAAATGTCGTATGTAATGGTATTGCTTAAAGGATAACTTCGGAATTTAAATATTTAAAATTTAGATCTCGATTAAAAGAGGGTTGTATAAGAACAAAAAATTATAACTTTTTAACATAAATAAAATTTTGTATACGTTAAGAAAAGGTGAAATTACCTTGATAGAAGTGAATATATGGTAAGCAAGTTTGTATATAATGCTCTGTTTTCACCTTAAAATGATCAGCTAAGCCACAAGAAAGCCACGGAAGATTACCGAGTGCCAATAGGCAAGATATTAAGAAAAACCAAAGAACATTATTCCATTTCAATTGCTTATCAAAGTAACTATAGGATGAAAAAATTCCAGTAATAAAAAAGAAGTCCAAAATAATTTAAGCAAAGATTCAAAACTGAAGAAAGCAATTCTTCCTATCAGATCCAATTCTACTCTACCTCATCCTACTCCTCATCATCGTTCTCTACCAATATCCTCTTGCATGCTTCATAGCACATGAAAGAGATTCCTGCAGCTGGCACCAACTTCATGCAGCTAGGTCCCAACCCTTTATACAATCCTTGGATCCCTTCTTGCTCAAGAATGCTTGCAAGGGCATGAATCACATTTTTGTAAACTTGCCTTCCACTGAGGGCTCCCACTTGCATGTGCTTGCGAGCCACTTCAAGTGGAAAGGTTGCAGAACTTGAAATAGCACCTGCTGCTGATCCTATCAAAAGGGTTTCTATGTTGCCAATCTTCTCCGTTTTAAAAACTTTTCTGTATGCTTTCCTCAAAGTGTCATAGGCAAAGTAGTTGGTGGCAGCATATGGAATCACTCCAATCAGACTCGGAGTAAGGCCTCTGTAAAGCTCTCCAGCACCCTCTTCTTTGACTATTTTCATGAATGCATCTAGTAAACCATTATAAACACCCCTCTGCAAAATTACTAATGCAGATTAAATTTTGCTTTTAATTTTGGTACGATGCTAAAAGATAAATATGGGAAGAGTAAATAGTATACATGTTAACAGTATAAAAAGTTTTTGCACGTGTTACCCAATCAGAAATCATCATATGTTTGTTGATTTTTATAACAATTAGTCAATTACCTTAGAAGTCATAACTAACATTAGGAGTGGACAAAATAAATTAAACTGAACTGGAAAAAAAGTTTGCCTGAACTAAATTGGAAATTAGTTCATACGAATTGAACTGCAATATAAAAGTTTGAACTGAACTGCAATTTAGTTATACTTATACCTCTAGCTTTTATCCTTTAATAAAAATACTTAAATTCAATTCAGCTTTTATAGTTCAGTTCAATTGAGTTTTCAAAGAGTTCAACTCAGTTTAGTTTTTTTTACCCACCGACTAACATGATTGCTGTTTAGTAAGCGATGTAAATTTTTTTACACAGATCATGCATAAAAATTAAACTCAAAGGAAAACATGTGTACACACCTGGATAGTTAGTCGGGTCTTTACTAACTCTAGAGGATAAGTGCAAATAGTTGAACTAACTCCAGCACAAGCACCCGCTATCAATGATGCAGGAATAGGGAGTTTAGGCTGTTCCCCCGGCTTTGGTGAGAGGTTCTTGTTAACAGTATCATAAGCAAATAGCTGCAGAAACAAGTGAAATGTAATCAGATGCGTAAAAATACCAACACTTAAGACTACATTGGATCACTCATCACTATCTGAAATATTAATAAGAACTAAAGGCTACTTTTCTCTACCATTGCAAAATTGACTTGAATCCATGACTGTATCTTCTATGAATAAAAAGGGATCAGAGAATGAAATGCAAGGCAAACATGAGCAAATTTTTATAGATTTGTGCTTTTCTCGTCTGAACTCTGAAAACAACTAAATGCATTCTTCAGTGAGACAAAAGATGGCTATAAGAGAGCATGTATGCGATTTATTAACATTCTATCACTAAATAAAATAAAGGAAGCTCGACATATTAGGTTGACTTAGATATAGTTAATTTTCATTAAAATCAAAATTTACATGACAAAAATAACTATTGGCTGCGTGACATATAAAACTCTTTAACATCACTAATGTAAAGACATCTATAGGAGAAAAAAGCATTTGAGAGGAGAGACAAAATGAAGTTCATTAGGTTGAGTCTTCTCATAATAGAAGATTATTTAAGGAGTTAACAGGCAAAAAATTACACTAGTCAAAAAGGGTACACATTACATTAGAGGCAAGTTGCACATTCATTATATTTAGCACCAACCAATCTACTCCCCAAAAAACAAAACAGGAACAACTACAATGAAAGTTCTTGATCAACACAAATAAAACAAAATTAAACACTAAAACTACTACAGAATTAAAACACTCGGGAGTTGGGCAAAAAACATTGAACTCAAACAAAACAAATTCCGCCAGCAACACACATAAAATATAGATTCAACAATATCTCAATGCATAAATGCTCCACCTAAAAACAAATCCTGCCAATGGAAGCAGATCCCAGGACATAATGAAACGCACAAACCAACCATAAACCCAATAGAACAAAACAAACAACCAAAACTAACGTCCAAACCGCATACACAGACAATCAAATCAGGCAACAAAAAATCATTCACCAAAACAAACATAATCACATACAAATTGATGTATTCACATATTAGAATAAAAAATGATTACACATTATTTTATTTTATTATGATAAACCATGTATCTTTAGTGGAAAGCTAATGACTAATGGTTCAATATTCATGCAAGATTAGCTTCTCCCAAGTCACAACAAATAAGAGATTCTATCTGTGATCATCTCCTTACAAGATAAAATTATCTATCAATCATATCAAATCATACCACATCAGAGATCACTAATAAGATGTACACACATTAAGATATATATAACTACCTCAATGGCCTTGCTAGGTGCAACCCGAATGACATTGACGAAATTGCCCCTAAACAACCCCTTCCAGCCATCAGTCTTCATGATATTCCCGAACACCTCAACAGTGGAATTGCCACTGCTTCCAACCATCAAATGAGTCCTTATGGTCTCCAAGGGTGCCACAGTGGTGCGTGACACTGCCCCAGCAAAGGCACCACTCACCAACCTCCTAAGCGAAGGGTTCTTCACCTTGATCTTCAACCCCTTAAAGACACCCTTTTTGTTATTTTCCACCACCTCTTCCTCAGGAACCCCCAGAATCTTCACCTTCCCCTCCGATTGCACGTAAGTCACGTACAACTCGGTGCACGGGATCCTCATGCCACCATTGTGCGGCGAATCAGAAGAAGGGTTCGGTTCCTGAACACCGAACCCCACCCCCACCTGACTCATGCTTGCAAACAACAAACCCGCAGCCACAGGGTCATGAACACCACCACCACCACCACCCCATTGAGACCCAAAATTGGAAATTGAGAAAAGACCATTTCTTTCTTCATCGAAGAGCTTAATCCCTCTCCCACCCATCAATCAGAACCTTTTAAAGACCCCTTTTTCAGCTTTTTCCGATGATGGGGGCTACGAATAAGAACAAAAATATTGAGCCTTTGGAGGGTATTGAGAAGAAGGATTCGAAAAAAGAGTGCTTTTTTGATCGGCGGAATATGCGAGAGGAAGAAGAGGCGGCTGGTGAGAAAGAGAGAGAAGGGTAGGTGAATGAATCAGTGTCTCAGTTCCTCTCCGACTCAACAGAAACTGCACTTACGCGTGGGAAAATATATATATTATATACACGTGCGATAATTAGTTGCTCCTTTTGTAATTTTTCACGTTATTTGTGGCATTGAATTCATGGGACATTGACTAATTGCTCGAATGTATCACTTTATTTCCGGAATTCTAATTCAAGTGTGTTAATACAAGAAAATTTAATTAATTAATTTGGATGATTTAATTAATAGATTCATTTTAAAAAATTATTGCGGTAAGGATGTCTAACTTAACATAATTATATGCATTTTTATTATTTACTTTGAAAATATTTTTAAAGTAAAAATAGTCTTATAAAAAGTTTTCATAAATAACTGATTAGTTAGTATAAAATAAGTAAAAAGTTATTACAAGTATATATACTAGAAGAAGAGAGGTGACTATGTGATTAGAAGAAGAGAGGTGACTATGTGATTTTAAAATAAACATAATCAAATGAAAGATTACTTGAAAAAGAGTGGAGTTTGTGGTATAAAATTTATGATAAAATAAAAAATAAAATAAAATAACATAAATGAGTGAATTTAAGGTACTTATAAGAACAAAATAATTAAAAAATATGCTCAGCAGACATATGTTTCAGTTTTATTTATATTTCTCATTACTTATTACTAAAAAGTTTTTAAAAAATCCGATTTTTTTATTATATTATGTATCAATAAAAATATCTGAATTTTTCATTTGAGGATTTATTTTTAATGTAATTTATTTTATTGTCGGAATTATCTTTTAGACATATGTGAAATAGACATACACTGTATTATTATTAATTATATAAACCACTTAAGATTAGTTTAGTAATAAGAATTGAAAGAATATAAATTTGAATTTTATATTGTTATTATAATTTTTATGAATAAAAAAATATTTTTTTATAATAAATATTGTGTTAAATTTTTATATAAAATAAATAAATATGTATATATATAGAAATAGATAAAAGAAAATAAAATATTTATAAAAATAATAACTTTATTGTTAATATTTCTTACCAAAATGACACTATATAATAATAATTTTGTAAAAAAAATAGTTGTTGAAAAGTATTAATAAAAAGAAGTAACTAATACATTAAAAAGTTAAGATGACATTAATTTTAAAATTTACTCTTTTTATACAAGATTTATTATGAGACAGACAGGTTAAGAAATGTAAATACCAATCAAAGAGCAGTTCTTTTCATTAATTGAGCGATTAAATTTTCTAAAATAAGATATATAAAACAAGAATATTTTTTATTATTAATATAAAAGAGGTGATGGAGAGTTGAGTTTCTATCAAACATTTACATAAAAGAAACTTTTATACTAATTATTAATTATATATATACGTTTATTTTATCCAGCTGCACAAAGTAACTTATTTTTATTAATTTTTTTATGATATTATAATATTTTTTTTTTTTTTTTGTTCAAAGAGGGTAATAAATTTCTAATCACAAAAAATCTTAAAGATGAAAATATAAATAAATTTTAATTAATATTTAATGTTTGTAATCTAAAAATACTTTTATAATAATAAATGAGAATATCATCTATCTGATTAAGAATATTTTTTTAAAAATATAATATATATTTTTTTTGTAAAATTGTGAAAATTAAATATATTTAATAATTTTTTTTATTCAATATAAAATTAGTTATATAAAGATCAAGGAAGACTAACACTTATCCTACCTTATGAGAGCACGCTAAGGTGTTAAAAGCTGCATCAATTTTCTATATTTAATAATTGTGGTATTTACATGGATATAGCCTATCAAATTACATTTTGTCTCTTCTTAAATGAATTTTGAAGGATTGACCTTTAATTTTTGCCAAATAAAAACTTTAATATAAAGAAAAAATCAGATTTCATACTGAATAAAAAAATAATGCTTATTAAAGAATTTCAAGTGTAATCGACTAATCAATGAATGAATAAAAACCTAAGAAAATTACAATAAATACATATTAATTTTAGTACATTATCAATTTACAGTAATTAATTAGAATTTATTATATATTATTTTTAAAATAATTATTATAAATAAAATATTAACTTTTTAAAAGGAAATAGAACTATTACTATTACTAATTGTGACATGCACGGCAAATTTATATACAGAAAAAATAATTATATTTATTCTAATAGTAGATTTATCAAAATTTATTTTATTTAATATTTTATATTTTATATCAAATTTTAATGATTTAAATGTTAAATTAAAAAATTTTAACATTCAAATCAAGTTTTTAAATTTTTAAAAAATTTAAAAGTTATTTTATATTATATTTTATTAATTTAAATTAATATATAAAATATTTTTGTAATTACCTGTCAATTTAAATTAATGAAATCAAATATTAAATAATTTTATGAGATATTTTAATAAAATTTACATATATATGAAATGTGTTAACTTACACTCACTTAACTTTTAGTTCAAAAAAATTAGCAAACTACACTTAAGTGCATTTAAAAAACTGTCATAATTATATAAAAAGCACAATGCATAAAATATTATCCAAATTATTATTTTCTTTATTTTTTTTATAGACACATGGAGTCTTTTTTTCTTTTTTCTAATTTAAATAATTAATTTAATTGTTAAAATAATCATAAAAGTAATATTATAAAATAATTTTAATTTATATATTATAATTTTTTTAATATTATTTTGGCCCTCTAAAAAACTTTTCAAGTTCCTTCTGCTTTAGACCTTGCATTTGAATTACTTGCTTCTTTCCTCTCATGTTTTTTTTTTTCCCTCTGAAGCTAACAACAAAGCAAGGAAACCCAATTTCAACTGGACCTGACAACATAATATTTAGAATTCAAATGCTTTGGACTTTGGATTTGGTTTGTTTTGTTTGTTTCTTTGACAATTCGATGTGCATGTCTTTGTTTTGAGAACAAAGTGGATGAGTTTTGGTGGGCCAGTGAGGATCTAGAGAGAAAATTCTTCATACGGTTAGTTCTGTTACTAAATTTAAACACGTGTTAATGTTGGCTTTGCCAGCGTTTTTGACTAATAAAGGTGTTGTTTTTTTTTACGCTTTTAAGATTTTAATAAATCATTAAATTAGACAATAAATTACTATCACAATCTAAAATTAAGAAATTAAATAGTCTTGGAATCAATATTTATCAATCTTAAATTTGTTCTTAATTATGTATTAAGATATGTTAATTTAGTCATTGACTTTAACAATTATATATTAACTATTAGTTATATATTAACTATTAGTTATTAGAATTCAAATCAACTTGTATTTATTAAATTAAAAGGTTAAATTAGTAGTAATATTTAAATTTAGTGACTAAATTTTGTAATTTTAGGAACGAAAAATTTAGTCGCTAAATTTGACTTGTAATATTAATTTTAAAGACTAAGTTAACTAATGTTATTATATTTAGTGATTAAATTAATTTTTTATTGTAATATTTTTTTATTATTTAGAGTTGTTATAATATCTAATACTAAAATAACTGATATTTATAATTTTGGACACTTCTTTTGTTTAGAAAAAAAAAATTATATATTTTTTTCAATCTTAAGGTTGAGGAAAAATGATGTGGAATATTTTAAATGTCTCAAATCTAATTCATTTTTCTTGTATTCATGTTAGCTATTTGTTGTGTCTCTTTTGTGTGTTTAATGTCAAATTTATTTTACTGAAATTATATCTTCAAGATGTGGATTATTTATAAGGTAGCGAGATTGACCTCAATTCCATTTGTATCTGTTTGATGCATGAGAGAGTAATCTCGATTTTGATTGTAATTATAAATTTGTACTATCTATGAATTCCCTCACATTCTGAATATGTTATTGGATTATGATTGCATTTCTAATATGTGGGATTGTCTTTATTTGTGAATCTGGGTTCTCAAGGGAACCCTGAGAATTGATACAAAGCAAATTATTAGAGAAACAAATGTGAATAGGAAACCCTTAGGATGGAATAGATTAATTAGACTATAGATACCATTTTTGCTAAAAATGAATTCATGTAAACTTACGAGACTTAATATGTATAACTCATAAATTATGCAAAAGAAATGTATTTGATATTTTGTCAAGCACTGTGCAAGGCACACCAAGCGCGAGACGAGACAGAAGGCATGAGTTGCTCTTTGTGGTGATCAAGTCGGGCATGGGGATGTCCATGCCAGGTGTGAGAGCCACATAGTGCTCTCAATGGTGTTGATGTCAGGTGTGAGAGGCACAAAGTGCTTCTTGTAGTAAAATTTGTTAGGTGCGAGAAGGGTTGTACTAGGCTTGATCCTTCCAAAGAGTTTGGAGTACTCTTAGCCTCAACCACACTGAGTGCAAGGTACTTAATGTTGGGCATCACCCTATGCCTGCACTTAAAATACATATGATTATTTTGATGATTTTGAGTAGCTTTTATGTATGTGAACAATATGGGTTAAATGATTGTGATGATAAGGGTATGTATTGGGTTGATGTGAATCTTAAAAATTGTGAGATGTGTTATGTGAAAAATGTGCAAATAACCATTTTATTAAGTCTAAGTTTAACTTAATAGTGAAAAAGTCTGGGTGAAATTGCCTATAAGGAATATGATTATTGTGACTTGAGATTGAATGTATAATGGTGAATACAAATTGATATGAATATGCATTGAGTCTATGTGATATGCATCATGTGCATTATGCGATTTTGTGATTGGTGCGATAAATAATATGTTGTCCGGGAAGGTCCTCTTTGTGTAAAAACTTGGGAATTCATGACCTTGGAGATAGTAAGGCTTGGGAGCCCTAGTTTTTTCTTTTGTGTGCATGGGGTGAAACTTGGCCGACATATCTATCCAGCACACCACTAGTGTATTTTCTCTTAGTATAGAGTGTTGTGATGGTTGTGACCCGACATGTATTCCTAAGCTACTTGTGCCTTTAGGCCAGAATAAAGTGATTTTACTGATGCCACATGCATATAGCTCAAGGGAGTCTTATTCATTGCATGATCATAGCATC